CCTTCCGGCTCTCTTTGTCTTTGGATTGCTCACATTGGGAGAAGCCAGCTGACATGCTGCAAGGATACTCAAGCAGTTAGTTCTATGGAATGGCCCACGTGGATAGGAACTGAGGCCTCCCACTAACAACCAACACCAACCTGCTGGCCACGTGACTGAGCAAATCACATGGCCGGTAAAGCAAATCCTCAAGCCCCAATCAAGCCTTCAGACGACTATAGCTCTGACTGACATCTTGACTTCAACCCCATGAGAGACCCTGAGCCAGAACCACTGAGCTAAGCTACTGCCAAATTCCTGACTGGCAGAAACTGTGAGAGATAATAAATGTTTATTATTGTTTAAAAAAAATAATCAAACCGATACAAAAATAGAAAACTTGAATGGACTATAACCATTAGAAAAACTTGAAATGGTGAGTAACTCCTAATCTCCACTATCCTCTGGGGGAAAAAAGCATAATCTGAGGCAGTTTTACAGTTGAATTCTACCAAGTATTTAAGGAACAGGTAATATCTATCTTTTACAGCTGTTCTACAAAATAGCAAAAGAGAAAGCTATCCAATTTATTTTAAAACCATAACCATGGTGGCCACTGAACATGAACAGCACAAGAAAATTATAGGCAAATTTCATTTATGAGCATATACACAAAAACCCTAAATAAAATATTATATAATCTGTTCTTTAAATACATGGAAAAATTCATCTGCCACACCTGCATATGACTATTAGTAACTAAAGTGAAAAAAATTAAGTATGTTTTTTGCTTTTCTAACAGGAAATGCATTCAGGGTAACCAAATAGCCCTAGTTACTGAGGGAAACCTCCCCTTTACAGAAGAATTTCAGTCAATAAATGTAGAAGGAATGATGGAATTAAAAAAATAATTAAATAACTGATTTGGAAAAGATTCATCAATAAGTATTAAAACTACTTGGTAAAAAGTTGACAGAGAAATGAATATTTCCATGGTACCAAAGTATCACCTCCAGATATTACTTGCTAGTCCAAAGGGAAAAAAATTAACTACAATGGAGAAGCCTGGCTGTCACAATTGTAACCCAGCGATCAATCTTGACATCACTGATAACAACCCAGACATATGGGCTACTGATGTGATACAATATGAAGTACACAGAATCATCTATGAGATCTTCTTGCCAAAGAGGTTCAACCTGAAGCTAGTCAAGTTCTTAAAATCTAATTTCCAGTTTACAGGAAATATAAAGGATAGAGGAACAAAAGTTTAAATGTGAGAAAACCCTCAGAAAAACCCAAGAGGTGAGACATTCTAGAGACCAATTGGCCCACTCTCCTCAGCCAGTCAATGACATGGGGCAAAAAGGAGTATGTGTGTGGAGGATCTTCTAGATTTAGAAAGACTAAAAACATACAACTAAATGCAACATATAGTGCAGGAGGGTTTTCAGGGGAAGCTTAAGAAACTAACTTTTTTTGAGGGGAAGAAAAATTTTGTGAAGCTATGGCTATTTTGAAAAAGCTGAAAAAAGAAGGGGCCATTTTCTATAAAAGAAATTAGAATATACTAATATAAAGCCACAGTAATTAAAACTGTGTGTTAATAGTATAGAATCAGACAAATGGGTCAACACTGAACATACAGAGTCCAGAAATGCCCATGAATATATGAAAACTGACTGAATGACAAAGTTGGTATCAGATTATCAGTGCGGGAAAGATGGACTATTTAACAAATGGTATTGAGAAAATTAGGTAACTAAATGGAGAAAAATTAGGCTGAATCCCTACCTCATATTATATTCAAAAATATAACACAAATATCTAAAGGTGAAGGCTAAAATAATAAAGAAAATGTAGGAGAATATATTTGTATCCTCAAAGTAGGAAAGGATTTCTTTTCAAAGAAAACCAAAAAAATAAAAAAAGGTTATAAGTGGTAGATCTGACCATTATCAAAATAAAGGATGTGAACACATCAAAATGAAGGTTTCTGTTCAATAGAAGATACTATGATGGACGCAACCTAAATGTCCATTGACAAAGGAATGGATAAAGAAGATGTGGTATATACATACAACGGAATATTACTTAGCCATAAAAAAGAACAAAATAATGTCATTTGCAGCAACACGGATGGACCTAGGCATTGTCATACTGAATGAAGTCAGACAAAGACAAATATCATATGATATTGCTTATATGTAGAATCTAAAAAAAAATTGGTACAAATGAACTTATTTACAAAACAGAAATAGAGTCACAGATGTAGAAAACAAACTTATGGTCACTGGGGCCGGGGCGGGCAGGGGGGAGAAAAGGCGAGGGATAAGTTGGGAGATTGGGATTGACACATACACACTACTGTATATAAAACAGATAACTAATATGGGCCTACTCTATAGCACAGGGAACTCTTCTCAATACTCTGTAATGACCTATATGGGAAAAGAATCTATAAAAGAGTGGATATATATATATGCATAACTGATGCACTTTGCTGTACAGCAGAAACTAACACAACATTTTAAATCAACTATACTCTAACAAAAATTAACAAAAAAAATACTATGAACAGTTAGTAGATGATAGACTAGGAGAAGGTATTTCTTAGAAGACTAAAACAAAGAAGTCCTCCCTTAAGTATACAAGCAACTCCTACAGCAAGGTAAAGAACCCTAATAGTAAAGGGGCAAAGGACATGAACATGCAATTTGCAGAAGGGAAAATCTGAATGGTAAATAGATATATGAAGAAATGGTCAATCTCACTGTAAACAGATAAATGTATATTATGACATTTTGACATACTACTTTACACTCATCAAGTAGACAAAAACTAAAAAGTTGGATAATATCAAGTTATGTGGATACAGTGAAACAGTTACTTTCTCATACACTGGTAGCAGGAGCATAAACTTACAGTCATTCTTGAGAGTGGTATGTAGAACCTAATAAATTTAAGTCAGCCTACACACAATAACATAGCAAGTCAATTCCTCAGCATACATTCCAGAGAAACTCTTCCACAGTCCTTTCAAGGGAAAAGAATATGTTCTTTGCAGTGTTGCTTGGAATAGCAAAGCAAAGAGACAGAAGCAATCTAAGTGCCTATCACTGGGGAACAGATAAGTAAAATATAGTATATAGCAGAATATTGTGTACCAGTCAGAAGTGAATAACTAGATCTATATGTAACAACGTGGGTAAATCTCAAATACAATGCTGCTTGATAAAAAGGAAAAAACAGAGTGAGACATATAGTACAATGCCATTTATGTATATAAAACATACACACTTAGATATATGAAATCTTAAAGAATGTCAACACATGTTGGACAGATCAAAAGGACGTATGTTAAAAATCCAAGAATGGGTACTTAATGCAAGACTGGAAAGGACAATGGAATTGGAGATGGGAAATGAGGGCGAAACACACACACACCACACACACATACACAAACACACAACTAAAGAACAGTCTTTCAAGAACAGGTGATGGAGGTGGGCCATAAACTGAGAAATCTGAGCAAGTGAATTTAGTGAAACTGAAGTCCTAAAAAGAACAGAAAAGGGAAAAAAAAAAATCCTACAGGAAAAAAACAAAGCTAAAGGCTCAGAAAAAAATGATCACTTAAACATTATATAGCTGGGCTTCCCTGGTGGCACAGTGGTTAAAAATCTGCCTGCCAATGCAGGGGACACGGGTTTGATCCCTGGCCCAGTAAGATCCCACATGCCATGGAGCAACTAAGCCCATGTGCCACAACTACTGAGCCTGTACTCTAGAGCCCGCGTGCCACAACTACTGAAGCCTGCGCGCCTAGAGCCCGTGCTCTGCAATAAGAGAAGCCACCGCAATGAGAAGCCCGTGCACTGCCAACAAAGAGTAGCCCCCACTTGCCACACCCAGAGAAAAGCCCGCGCGCAGCAACGAAGACCCAATGCAGCCGAAAATAAAATAAATAAATTTATTTTTTTAAAAAAAGGACTATATAGCTAACAAGCAACTTGGTTTAGTTACTAGGGTATTTTTTTTAACAAGATAGAAGTGTTCTAATTCATTTACTTTTAAAATTGCAATATGCCACGGAAGCTTATAAAGACATAAAAATTAAAGTACTTCAGTCTTCACATTTTACCAATAAGGAAAAGGCAAATAAGCGGAAAGAAATAACAATGAAGCTGACCATGAAAGTAACCAGCTTTTTCATTTGAAACCTTTTAGAAATTGTAGCTCTAAGACAGTTATGTTGCAGTTCACAATAGGCATACAGCAGATACTACTTCTGGTATTTGTCCCCTGGACTAGATGGAATTAGCCCACAAACTAACCCTGAAATTTTAGGTCCTTAAATGACAAAGCCCATGTCAAACTAAAATACTACGTAACAGCACCCAGCTCAGAATTATTTTAAGTAAGCATTTAATGCTTTCTTATATGTAACCAGATTGTCCTCAATACCTCTATTATTTCAGCTTTTTGGTCTAGTATTGCTTTAAAGTGAACAGCCCAGAAAAAGAACAAGAATAAGTGAAACTGCTGCCAAAATAAGCTACAAATATTATTTCCCTTATTAGCATTGAGAGCAGAAGGCTCTCCTATACCTTTGAATACTGATATACTTTTAAAACTTTGATTCACTATACCTCTCTTCAACCTATAGAAAGGATTATAGAGTTAAGATCAGTAATCACAGTCATTTTGGGGCTTAATATAGTATGGCACAGATAACTTGTTCAATAAATGTTTGTTGAAATAAATTACTGATTTAACAAGAAAAGTCAATTGGCTTATGTTAATAAATATAGTCTTGCAGCTCTTCTGAACAAACCAAATAACCATATATTAGCACATCTGAAAAAAGTCAATTCCAAATGAATTATAAGATTAATGATTTTTAAGAGGCACAAATAAGAAAAATATACAAAATACATTAAATCAACTCATCTCATGTATGTCTGGGCTGAATAAGATATATGCCTATCTCTTATAAATGGATATATTCTTATCCTTACCAATGGGGGATTCTGGAGTTAGCCCCATGCTTTGAAGCAACGCTTCAGCTTCTCTTCTTTTTTTTTCAAGATCTGATTCTTCTTGCACAGGAGCAGCTGCTTCCTTCTTCTGATCAGTCTAAATTTTTTAAGTTAAAAATTTAAATTTACAAATGGTATAAACATTTCTGTTTGCAAAAAATATAAATTTTTTAAATAACATGCTAATACTGTATACTTCTGGAGGTAGACTTAGTTTTGAATACACATTATAGTCATTAAATGAAAATCATTCTCAATAGAGTTTTAGTAAGAATCTCCAAATGATATGTATTAAATTGATCCTTAAAAAATTTTTTTTATTTTATTTATTCATTTTTGGCTGCACTGGGTCTTTGTTGCGGTGCGCAGGCTTCTCACTGCGGTGGCTTGTCTTGTAGCAGAGTACGGGCTCTAGGCATGCGGGCTTCAGTGGTTGTAGTACGTGGGCTCAGTAGTTGTGGCTCGCAGGCTCTAGAGCGCAGGCTCAGTAGTTGTGGCGCACAGGCTTAGTTGCTCCGCGGCATGTGGGATCTTCCCGGACCAGGGCTTGAACCCGTGTCCCCTGCACTGGCAGGCAGATTCTTAACCTCTGCACCACCAGGGAAGCCCTAAATTGATCCATTTTTATATGTAATCAAGGAGTTCTCACAAAAATTTTCTGAACAGATAAATTCAAAAAGTACAGTCAATTTCTATTTATTTACAATATGAAATTGCTATCCATGGTCAGGAATTGTGGAAATCTCACAAATACATAAATACCACAACACTATGAAGAAAAAAAAAAGACTGAATCATTTAAGAGATAACAAATTTTAAGTAAATGAACAATCTGATTCGTTGAAAAAGTACAAGTACCTCAAACTTCTTTATGAAGTCTTCAGTGTCTTTATTCAACTTTATGTAAAGGATGTTTGTCAAAAATTCATCTGGAGACAGGTTTTGTTTTTATTTTATAAACTACAGGTCTTATTTTTATGATGATAAACACACGGTTTGGTTTGGTAAAATTAAAATTTACTCTTGCATAGCACAAAACACTTTTTGTCATTGAAATTTTTGCCAACGTTTATTTCAGCCATTTATAGTGTTAGCAAAATCTTCCAGTTAAACTAGATAAGCCTCAATACTCTCAGATCATCCAAATTATCTCAAGTGAAATTTAAGCCTTCAAGGAAAAAGTTTTATACATACACCTCAAAAGTCTGTTTCAGCTAGACAACTATTACTCATACAATCGTCTGCAGTAAATTTTGTTAGTCATAATATTCTGATACCATTTTAACTTAAAGAAGTCATCAGACAATTTCATCATAATAGCCAAACAGACTATATTATCAAGTAGACACTTTACCTGTACATAACAATATATTAGTAGACTCACTGTTTAATAGTATTATAATTGTAATGTCTCTGGTAATGTTTGATAACCTTTAAATCAGATATAAAGCATGTAACAGATATCCCTTAGGGCCACCTATGGCCATCTTTAGAAAACAAAAACCAAATTTGCCCTCAGCCCTGAAGGGTTTAAGGCTACACTTACTAGTTTGGAATGGCTCCGCCAGTCTGACTCATGCTTCTATCAGTTGGCTTTTAATCAAATAGAGAACTTTAAGGTCCAACCCTCTTATAATAATGGATCACAAAAAGGTTCAGAATAAACTAGAAGATTCTTCAAGTACAGGCCTTTACAGTATCATAGAAATGCCGCACATAAACTGCACCTTCGGTTTTTCTTTTTCCCTAAGAGATTCCTGGAAGTCTTGGCTATTGTTTAGGCTATCACATAGAAAAACTTGGTACTGTCACACTGAGAACAAACTATCTTAACACTGGCCATTTAAAACATCTATGATAAAAGTATACAAATCTGCCTAAACAGTTTCCATAGAGATAAATGTACATTTCAATACAGGAGAAAGTAAAATATCTCCAGCTCAGGGTCAATGTATATTTGCCATACACGATGAAATGGTGATGCCAAAAATCAGAAGATGTAAGTACCTAGTCCACCTTTACAATAGTATCAAACCCACTACTTGGTAAAGATATTTCAATGACTAACTCATGATAAAGGAGATACGATCAGTTAAATAATCCCCTAATTAATTAATAATCTATTCTATATTTCTCTTTGCCATTATTTATTCCAACAACTAGCAGTTCCAACAAGTAAAATATTCAGATAAGTTCAAAGTCCAAACTAAGTTATGATGTATATGCCATGTTTTATGAGCTATTACAAGGCAGATGCCCCTTACTTTATATAATAAACATATCCCTAGAAGACTAAATATGCATATTGAACTTTTCACCTAAAGTGCTATATTTGCAGTCACAACTGCTGGAATTTTAACTATTCTGAAAGTATTACATAAAGGTATGAGTACTTAAAATCCAATTATTTTATATTATCTTAAAAAAAATTAAACATACTTCTTTTTTTTTCCTTTCTTCTTCTTTCCTCTTCTTTTCCTCTCTTATTTGAGCCAACCGCTGCTTCTTACGTTCCAGCTCTGCCTTTAATTCACTTTTGTCAGACATGTTTGCGACCTTAAGAAGCATATAATCATTTACAATCATTATTACATTGGTAAAAGCAGCACTCTTTAAAAAAAATTAGTCTTTCAAGAAGAGAACTGTCTCGAGAGACCATGTAGTTCAATGCTATCTAAAGAGAACATATAAACTCTACTTCTAAAATAACGGAAGCACATATATTACTAAGACCTGAAAAAAATTATCAATATAAACAAATGTATATAAAAAATAAGTACCCAGAATTGAGCATAGTAACTAGCACCAGTAAGCTCTTTAATGTTCACATGCTCAAATTCAACACAATATCTTTGGCTCTTAGAACAGAGGACACGGGTTGGCATTAAAAGCTAAGCTATATGACACAGATCAAATCTGCTATCAGAGTTTTGCATTCATTCCTAGAAATTTGATAAAACAGGCGGTCACACAGAAAATTTCTATAAATTCTAAAACTACCATGTAATAGTAATATTAAGAAGAAGCAAAACACAAATATTACCACCAACAACTATTAAATATACTTAAAGTAAGTACGTTTTTAGTCAAAGCCCAACAACAAAGTCTGACCGGATAACTACATACAGCTGACAAGTCCGCTCAACCTCCTAGAGGCAGAAGCCTCCATGATTGACGCGTTCACTTTCTTAAAACTCCAAGGAAGAGAAAGTCTCAGGAATTTTGTGCTACAACCTCCGCGTTCGGGTACTTTCAAACACACACCAAGTAAAGGAAAACGCTGTCAACGCAAGTAATAACGACTTTTCTTTATAAAATGGAGTAAGGCGAAAAGCAGTCACTTCTCCCCTAGGGTCACGGCCGAGGGGGAGCGGTGCAGGATAGGTCCGCGGGAGGAGGCCTCGAACTAGCCTCGAGGCTCCTCGGGGCACCTCCGGAGGGTCCAGAAGGGAAGGGAGTGGACTCGTCTCCCCTGGCCTCCCTGAGTCACCGCACCTGGCTCTCCCCGCCTCTCCTTCCCGGAGCCCGGCCCGGGCGGCGCTGTCAGCAGG